CAACATGTAACCTTTCAATTCTTGCTGTTCTTACTCAGCAAAATGTCTTTGAGGTACATGCGTGTTGTTGCATGTAGTTCTCTTTTTCTATTTCTGGGTACAGTATCTCATCGTGGATATGTCAGTTTGCTTATCCATTCACTCGTGGCAGGCATCGGGGTTGTCGGTTTGGGGTACTTAAAAATAGAGCTGCCGCCCATATCTAGGAACAGATGTTTTTGTGAATGTAAATTTCTATTTTTTAAAGATTTTTAAAAAGATTTATTTATTTGAAAGGTAGAATTATGGAGAGACAGGGAGAGACAGAAATAGAGGTCATCCATCTGCTGGTTCACTCCCCAAATGGCCACAATGGGCTGATCCAAAGCCAGGAACCAGGAGCTTCTTCTGGGTCTCCCATGCGGATACAGAGGCCCAAGGACTTGGGCCATCTTTTACTGCTTTCCCAGGCCATTAGCAGGGAGCTGGATCAGAAGTGGAGCAGCTGGGACTCAAATTGGAGCCCATATGGGATGCTGATGACAAAGGCAGAGGCTTTTAGCCTACTATGTCACAGCGCCAGCCCGTTTTCATTTTTCTAGAAGAAATAGCTGCTGGTTGGAGAGCAGGATCCCATAGGAAACATGGCTTAGCTTGGTGAGAAGTTGTTTTCCAGCTGTGCCACTTTGCGTTCCCACCAGCCGAGTATGGGCGTTCCACTTCCTCCACACACTCACTAGAACTCTCTCCTGTCCATTTAAAATGTCTAGTCATTTAGTAGTGTTAGCTCATGGTGTAGCCAAGGTGGCTGGGCTTCAAAAATACCTGGGACATGTATACTGGGAAAAACTATGCATGGACTTCAAAAAAAATTTTTTTTTATTTTTTAACAGGCAGAGTTAGACAGTGAGAGAGACAGAGAGAAAGGTCTTCCTGGTTCACTCCGCTAATGGGTGCTACAGCTGGCGCTGTGCTGATCCGAAGCCAGGAGCTGGGTGCTTCCGCTGGGTCTCCCATGCAGGTGCAGGGACCCAAGCACGTGGGCCATCCTCCACTGCACTCCCTGGCCACAGCAGAGAGCTGGCCTGGAAGAGGGGCAACCGGGACAGAACCAGCGCCCCAACTGGAACTAGAACCCAGGTTGCCAGCGCTGCAGGTGGAGGATTAGCCAAGTGAGCCACGGCGCCAGCCTTCAAAAATTTTTTGCACCAAAACTACCTTGTTGGGACATGTACAGACAAGATCTAGTCTGAAGCAAAAAGGAGGAGACATCAGTTTAAGAAGATTCCAGATCAGAACAAAATGAATTCTGCTGAGAATAAAGCAAGAATGAACATCAGATTGGTGAAGCTTGGGTGAAAGAATGGTGAAACCAGAGATGTTTTCTGAAAAGTTCATGGGGCAATGCCCCAAAGAAATCAGTAGTTTACAAATGGATAACTTTCTTACTTATTTTTATGTATTTATTTGAAAGGAAGAGGGACAGAGAGAGAGAGAGAGAGATCTTCCATCCACTGATTCATTCCCCAAATGCCTGCAACAACTAGGATTGGGCCAAACTGAAGCCAGAAACCTGGAACTCCATCCAGGTCTCCCATGTCGACGGCAGGGGCTCAGATACTTGAGCCATCAACTGCCACCTACCAGGGTGCAGGAAGCAGAGCCAGGACTCGAAGTCAAATACTCGGATGTGGGATGCAGGCGTCTCATGCTGCACCTTAACTGCTGTACCAAATGCCCCCCCATAACTCATTTTTTTTAAGATGTTGCTTATTTATTTGAAAAGCAGAGGTAGACAGAGATCTTTCATCAGCTGATTCACTCCCCAGATGGCCACCATGGTAGGAGCTGGGCCAGGCTGAAGCCAGGAGCCAGGAGCCAGGAGCTTTTTCCAGGTCTCCCATGTGGGTGCAAGGGCCCAAGCATTTGGGCCATCCTCTGCTGCTTTCCCAGGAGCATTAGCAGGGAGCTGGATTGGAAGTGGAGCAGCTGGGACTTGAACCAATGCCCATGTGGGAAGCTGATGCAGCAGCTTAACTTGCTACACACAGCACTGGCCCCCAGATAACTCATTTTAAGAAGACACAAGACATTGTTGAAGATGCAGCCTGCCGGGGCAGACTATCTGCGTCAATTTTCAGGGAAAAAACTAAACTTGTCCATGCACTAATTGAAGAGGATTGGGATTAACGTACAAACAGCAGCCAACACCACACAAGGAGACTTCAGGAAGTTAGTGGGAAAATGGAACTAAAAGTAAGAGTTTATTTTAGTGTAAAAAACCTTTTTGATGCAAAATATTTTTTCGCAATATTAGAAAATATAAATAAACTCATGCTTTTAATTCATTCTTCTATGAACGTTTTGAAATACCCTCATAGAGACATCTCAGTTGGCTGACCTTTTACCATTCTGACTGAAATTTTATTTTCTGGGCCGGCACTGTGGTGTAGCAAGTAAAGCCTGCAGTGCCGGCTTCCCATATGGGCACTGGTTGCAGTCCCGGCTGCTCCACTTCCAATGCAGCCTCCTGCTAATAGCCTGAGAAAGCAGTGGAAGATGGCCCAAGTCTTTAGGCCCCTGCACCTGTATGCGAGACCCAGAAGAGGCTTCTGGCTCCTGGCTTGGGCCTGGCCCAGCTCCAGCCCTTGTGGCCATCTGGGGAGTGAAACAGGTATTGGAAGACCTTCCTCTCTCTCTCTCTCTCTCTCTCTCTCTCTCTCTCTCTCTCTCTTTCTCTCAAACTCTAACTTTCAAGTAAATAAATAAATCTGTTTTTAAAGATTTATAAATTACCTTTATTTTACATACATTTTACTGTATTTGAGACATTTTTGTGTGTGACTAGTTAATTTTGCAGGATGTGAACAGAACTAAAGTCTGTGACAGTGGACATAGCCACTGAACCTTTCCATCTTCTATGTAAAGAAATCTGGAATTATGATTTAAAACCATATAACATGTGATTTTAATTTTCTTAGCATTTTTCTTTGTAAAGAACTAAAATATAAAGTAGTTGATGTGTAATAAAAGTAATAAAATTCAAAAAAATTATTTTCTGCTCTCTGGGTGCAAACTGCTCCACCCGGATGTATTCCAGACAAGAGCAGAGCTCTTCATGAAAGTGTTGAACTAATGGGCTCAAGACCCTGAAGCGTTTCTTAGAAGAATCATAACAGGAAAGGAAACTTGGCTTTCCCAGTACAATCCTGAAGACAAAGTGTAACCCAAGTAATGGCTACCAAGAAGCGGAAGGATCAGGACGCTGCAAAGCAGGCCGGTGGGGCGAAGATCACTGCAGCTGTTTTTTTGGGGTTGTTCAAGGCATTTCGTTTGTTGGCTTGCTCGAAAGCCACAGAATGACAGCATCAGCTTATTAGGAGAGTATTTGGGGAAAGTTAGTCAAAGCCTTGCCCGAAAAATGCCTGGGAATCTCCACCAGGGTCCTCCTCCGACGTCAGGGTGCTCCTGTTTTCTCATCAAGCAAGAGCAATTTGTGAGTCTTGATGGGAGATCACCAGTCCTGACTTGGCCCCTTCTGACTTGTTGTTGCTTCCTAATCTTTAAAAAAAAATCTGTGTAATCTTGGAAAATCTTTCTACAGTTAATATTGTGAAGGGGTCTGCATGGACACGGTTCAAGTCCCGGGAGCCTCAGCTCTACAGGGATGGACTAAAAGGCAAATCTCATCACTTCCAAAAGTTTCTTGAACTTGAGGGAGCTGCTGCTATCTACTGGTCTTTCAATTCCATTCTCCCACAAGCTCTTTGAAGTCCCTTCGTGTAGGACATGCGTCGTTCCTAATCCTGTCATTTTCTCTCTCTGGATTAGTTTTCCTAAGTCGATGTCAGTTCTCTCGGGTATTTCTAGGGGTCCTCCCCTTCCCCCTCCCGCCCCTCCGCCCAGGGGTCGGGCCGAGCAATTCCCTTGTCCTCAGTGGGGAGGTCAGGGATGGTGGCCAAGGGTGTGGGCTCGGGTGCCAGGTGGTGTCTGCCTCTGTTACCTGTTTGAATGGTTGTTTGGTTTCTCTGTGCCTCAGTCTCCCCATCTGTAGGAGAGGTGGAAAAACGGTACCTCCCTCACGTGCTTAATATATTCATAGTAAACAGCTGGTGGCTTTTAAACACTTAGAGGCATGCCGGCTGCATACTGAGCACCACGTAAGGATTGTTTAAGCGCAGTCACCCCCCAGCATCCACAGGGGATTGGTTCCAGGACCCCCACAGGTATCAGCACCTGGGAATGCTCAAACCCCTTATGGAACACCATGAAGTATTTACATAGAGCCTGCACACCCTCCCTTATACTCTAAATCCTCTCTCAATTACTTCTAATGCCTAACACGTTATACATGATGGTTGTGCTGCATTGTCCAGGGAACGATGAGAACCAAGTCTGTACATGTTCATTACAGATGCTTTTTTTTTTTTTTTTTTTTTTGAACCTTGGCTGGTTGAACCTGCGGCTGTAGAACCCATGTGGGTGAAAGCTAGCTGTATTTCTCCAAGAGCTCTAGCCTCTCCATCATTTAAATATTTTAGTGACTTAAGTATTTCTTTTTTCTTTTTTTTTTTTTTTACAGGCAGAGTGGACAGTGAGAGAGAGAGACAGAGAGAAAGGTCTTCCTTTGCCGTTGGTTCACCCTCCAATGGCCGCTATGGCCGGCGCACCGCGCTGATCCGATGGCAGGAGCCAGGTGCTTCTCCTGGTCTCCCATGGGGTGCAGGGCCCAAGCACCTGGGCCATCCTCCACTGCACTCCCGGGCCATAGCAGAGAGCTGGCCTGGAAGAGGGGCAACCGGGACAGAAGCCGGCACCCCGACCGGGACTAGAACCCGGTGTGCCGGCGCCGCAAGGCGGAGGATTAGCCTAGTGAGCCGCGGCGCCGGCCGTATTTCTTAAATATCTCTAGATTGTGCTTCCCCCATCGTGCTAGAGACCCAGGGCCTCCAGGATTTCCTCCACGTCTCAGACACTACTTCTGCACCTTCCCGCTACTCACGCCACCGCCTCTTTTGCAGAAGCACCTCTGTGCAGAAAAGCAACCGCTCTGCTTTCCATTCCGCTGCCTGGGGCGACCACATCCTCCTCACAGACTCCGCGGGCTCCCATGGAGAGCTCAGGTCAGTGTGCTGGGGGCTGTGGGGGTTTGCCAAGCCCGGCGGCTGCTGCTTGTTGGGATGGGGTTGCAGGGGGACATCCCCAGGGCTGGCAGGGACCCCTGAACCCAGCCAGGCTGAGAGACCCCAACTCTGCGGCCCGAGGGGAAGAACATCTTGAGGGGTGGACACCCTCACACCTGCTGTGGGAGGCACTGATTGTTTGCAGTCACTGAGCTGATGACAAAGTAGCCAGGCTTTATCACCAAACACGGAGACGATTTAACGAAAGCCTAGATTGCGTGTACAGTGTATCAAGGGGTGATTAAAAAAAAAACACTTGGCAAACATTAACTCTCCTAGTTTTTATGATAACCCCATAAGGCAAGGATTCTTTTCCCAAAGGGGAAACTGAGGCATGGTATGGGCAGGTATTTTCCCCAAGGTCACATCAGGCTCTGGACCTGGCAGTCTCACCCCCACGCCCACACTCTGGCTGCCTTGTAGAAGTGTCACGAGAAGTCTAGGAAGTGGTGATGTCGCTGTGACCTCATTTTTCTGGAAGGGAAACTGAGAGTGAGAGTGGTTAGGTAATCCTCTCAAAGCCAGGACTGGGGCCTGGGTGATGCCAAGGCTGCGTCAACAAGGACCACAAGGAAAGGGGCCGGCTCCCCTCAAGATGTGCACCCTCTAATGATCAGCCAGCAAGCCCAAGGCCACCAGGCACGGACGATGATGAAGGGGAGGGGTCTCTAGGCAGGGACAGGTGTCTGGCTGCCATCATCCCTACCACATGGATCCTCCCCGCACTCCACCCCCCCTCTGAGAGCCTGGACCTATCAGAAGCAGTTCCACAGAACCAGGGACCCCCAGTGAACCCCACGGTCCCAAAATTCTGGGTTGTCTTTAACCAGAGGGGTTGGGGCTGAGGACCAGGAATGGAGCAGCACTGTGAAAACCTGCTAATGTTTCAGAACCAATTTCCTTTGTGCTCATTTTGCACTGTGTTTATTTATTCGAGAAGCAGAGAGAGAGAGAGAGAGAGACAAATAGAAGAAGACAGGCACAGAGAAAGAGAGAAAGAGAAACAGTAAGTGAGAGAGAGAGGGAGAGAGATCGCCCATCCTCTCTGGTTCACTCCACAAATGCCCAAAATGGCAGGGGCTGGGCCAGGCGGAAGTTGGGAGCCAGGAGCTCAACCCAGGTCTCCCATGTGGGTGGCAGGGACCCAACTACTTGAGACTCAACCTGCTACCTCCCTGGGTCAGCATTAGCAGGAAGCTGGAAGTGGCCAAGCATCTTCCTCTCTAGGTGAACTGTTCCCACTCACTTTAATTGTAATGATAAACCCATTGTAAATGATAAGCCCTGCTGTCTTCTAGGAAGAGACAGGTGCCAGGAAAGTTTCTCTGGATGCAAGCAATAAAAATTGAGGTGGCCAATGTAATCTTTTGTCTAAAAAGTGACCAAGCATTGAAGAAAAGCTGAAGTGCCAGATACTAGAAAGAGCAGGGGACAGGGCAGATCTGCCACCAGGACAGGGAGGGGTAGGTGGAGCCCAGGCCTTCTTCCTTCCTAGCCTTCCTCTGTATAAGGCTGTGGAAGACGGGGGAGGAGGAGGAGGAGGAAGATGGGGAGAGGAGGAGGGGGAGGAAGGTGGGGAAGAGGAGGGAGAGGAGGAAGGAGAGGAGGGGGAGGGGGAGGAAGATGGGAAGGAGGAGGGGAGGAGGAGGAGGCGGAGGAAGATAGTAGGAGGAGGGGAGGAGGGGGAGGAGGAAGGGGAGGGGGAGGAAGGAAGATGGGGAGGAGGAGGAGGAAGATGGGAAGGAGGAGGAGGAAGATGGGAAGGAGAAGGGGGAGGAGGGGGAGGAAAATGGGGGAGGAGGGGGAGGGAGCCTAACAGGAGCAGGTGTCTGGCCCAACACAAGACCCTGCTTGGGATGGCTGCCTTCCACATCAGAGTGCCTGCGTTCAACTCCCGGTTCCACTCAATGCTTGCTTCCCTGCTAAGGTGCACCCTGGGAATCAGCAGGCGAGGGCTCAAGTCGTCGGGTCCCTGCCAGCCACGTGGGAGACCCAGACTGGGTTTCGGGGCTCCAGGCTTCAGCTTGGCCCAGCCCTGGCTGCTGCAGGCATTTGGGGAGTGAACCAGTGAATGGAAGACCTCTCTGTGTCTCTGCCTTTCAAAAAATAAATGAACAAGTAAATAATAAATGAAGAGCATAGTAGTTATGATGCTTGTCAAGTATGAATACGGTACATCACTGTATGTGCCACACTCTTACACGACTGATGGCATGCAGGTGTGTCTACACCAGCACCCCCCACAAACATGGGAGGAATATGCTGGCCCATGACGTCAGGATGGCTGCCACGTCACCGGGCAATACGACGCATAGAATCTATGGAATCAGCATTGTATCCGTGGTCTGTGGTTGCCGGAAAGGCTGTGCTGTGGTGTCGGACTATCTCTGCAAAGGGCCCCGGGGTGACTGTGGAGGCTGTTTAAGTGCCAAGAGCTGCAGTCCACGAGGCAGAGAGACCCAGGAGAGCCCATGTTCCAGGTCAAGGCCAGAGGCAGGGAGGTCCCGCTTGCTCAGGGGAGAGTCAGCCTTCGGTTCTATCGGTTCAGCTGATTGGCTGAGGCCAGCCCCGTGAGGGCGGGCCTTTCCTGCGCTGAGTCAGTCTGTCCACCTAAAAGTAAAACACACCCTTACACCCTCCCAGACACACCGGGGCAAATGACACCGTGTGACATCTGGACACCGTGTGACCCAGTCAAGCTGACACGTGAAGTCAGCCGTCCCAGGGGCTTGGGGTAACCCCAGGAAGACATGCAGTGGTGAGCTTGAAAAGGAAGTCTAAGACAATTCCACTAATGTCAGGAGGGGGTCGGGGCCCCGGAGCCCCCCAAGAATTACCTTTCTGAACAGAGGTCGGGTCTCACCCAAACAAGCTGGCAAACGACACCAACTTGGTCCAGCTGAGTTGGTTCGATCTCCTGCCACCACCAGGAACCCACATCCCGACACTAAGATCTTCGTCTTGCCCTCGGGCACAACTGTCCTCCCCGAGCTCTGAGCTTTCTCTCTCTCTCTCTCTCTCTCTCTCTCTCTCTCTCTTTCTTTTTAAGATTTGTTTATTTATTTGAAAGGCAGAGTTACAGAGAGGCAGAGGCAGAGAGAGAGAGAGAGAGAGAGAGAGAGGTCTTCCATCTGCTGATGCACTCCCCAAACGGCCGCAACAGTCAGATCTGAAGCCAGGAGCCTGGAGCTTCCTCTGGGTCTCGCACATGGGTGCAGGGGCCCAAGCACTTGGGCCACCTTCCACTGCTTTCCCAGGCGCATTAGCAGGGAGCTGGATTGGAAGAGGAGCAGCCGGGCACCCATACAGGATGCAGGCACTGCACCCTGTTTTACTCACTATGGCACGGTGCTAGCCCCAGTTCTGAGCCTCTTGTCACCTGACCTCTGACACTTGAGACATTCCATTTCTTTCTCTCCTTACCCAAATCAAATCCAGCTTCAGGCCCTCATTTTTCCAAGGTCAGCGGGAAGCCAGTGTCACTCACTGGGGACACTCGGCCCTTCCTCAGGAGCCTGTGAGAAGTCTGGACAGTGGGCAATGCGTGAGGTCTTCCATGCGGCGGAACTGAGGGACCGGTTTGTTGGGGAGCTGCCTGGGAGGCCATTCTTGTGCCTGGCAGACACAGCCTGTCACAGGCACGTCACAGGCACGTCACAACATGGCCTCCAGGGCTCTGCTGCTCTCTTCAGCTCTTCGCTGCCTCCAGCAAGCTGTGGCTCAGCCGTCCCTGGTGCCCCCGCTTCCCCAGCACCCCAGAACTCTGGGGCCCTCACAGTCTTGGGGAGTCCAACCTCCTCTCCTTGAACTGCGTTGCTTCCTCTTTAACAGAAAGCATCGGCTGACAGTGCAGCCTGACGGAGGGGCTGGGTGGGCTGTCCAGGGCCAGGCAGAGGATGCGGATGAGGGTGGGGGCGGGGGGGTTCTGCTTTGTGTCGAGCTGAAAGGGCCAGCTGCTCCCCAGCCCCTCTCCACAGTGTCGTGCAAGAAGGTGGCCCGCCCAGTGCCTCTGAATTTCCGAGGGGTGCCAGAAACCCCAAACTTTACCTAAAATCTCCTGATGTGTTCATGTTGGCCATTAATTTTTTTTTTTTTTAAGACACTGCACAAGCCCAAACAAAACATGTCTGCCAGCCAGATGTGGTCCAGGGGTGGAAGGTTTGCTCTGGCTGCCCAGACTTTCAAAAGCAAAGATTTTTTGAGATTTGTCTCCCGGGGCTCCCAGGAAGCTTCTGTGATTTATTCTGGAAGGTAAAAACTTAGCTCCCCTTGCAAAGTAGGGGGGACCTGGGGGCTCTAAAGATGAAGGCGTGGCTGCCTTTCTGCTGAGTAGGGAGGGAGGGACAGTGGTCATGACCTTGAGTCTTTCTGAGCAATCTGCAGTGGGAGAGGGAGAGAGACGGAGTGAGGGAGGGAGAGGAAAGGAGAAAAGGGGGGAGGGAGACAGGAGGGAGAAAGGGGGGAGAGGGAGGGAGGGAGGTGAGTAGGGAGGAAATTTGTGAATGACTCACCTTGCGTTAGCTCACGCAGGCAGGCGGGGATGGGTGGCTGGAAGGACAGACCGACCAGCCCCCAGGCCCAGCTAAGCAGTCTCTGCCCCAGCTGAGGCGCCGCTGCCCTCCCCAGCAGATCCAGCAGGTGCACAGATGCCCACTCTCAGGCAGGAGATTCAGGGCCAGGCCTTGGCCATGACAAGGGTCTCAAGGTGGGGACAAGTGAGAACCAGAGGAAATTTGGGGGCTTCAGAGGCACCTGCCAGCCCCGGAGCCATGGGGGATGGGCCGTGTGGCCAGGACACAGTGTGCCTTGGCCTAAGCGCATTTTTCACTCTCAGACTGCACCTGCTGATTTTTATTTATTTATTTTTAAAGATTTATTTATTTATTTGAAAGGCAGTTACTGAGAGAGATTTTCCATCCACTGACTCACTCCCTAAATGGCCACACAGCTGGGGTTGGGGCTGGGCCAAGCCAGAGCCAGGAGCCAAGAAATCCATTTGGGTCTCCCACGTGGGTGGCCGGGGCCCAAGTACTTAGGCCATCCTCTGCTGCCTTTCCCAGGTGCGTTAGCAGGGAGCTGGATAGGAAGTGCAGCAGCTGGGACTTGAACTGGCGCTCGCTCGTATGGGATGGAAGCATTGCAGGCGGTGGCTTTACCCACTGTGCCACAGCACCAGCCCCACTCCAACACTTTTCAAATGCCCATTGCTTCTTCTTGGGCTGCCTTCATGTAGGCTGACATTTGTGGAAAATCATTGCAACAGGAGCGAGAGAGTGAGCTCTGCTCCCCACACGGAGCAGACAGCCCGGGGCTTCACAGCCAGTGAGCAGAGAGAGGGGTCCAGAGAGGTCGGGGCAGCGGGATTCTTGCTGGAGGCCGGTAGATTCTCACACACTGACGGTGGAGAAATGCTTGATCCGAGGTCAGGAGCGGGGTGTTCACTCTGAACCGACTTTGTGGGATTCTCGCTGCAACTGGGCTGGGCTGGGCAGGTCAGGGAGAGTGCAGGGTTCCAGACTCAGGCCTAGTGGAAGAGAGGGCTCCAGGGAGCCTTCGGAAGGTTTGGCCAAGGAGAGAGAGCATCTTTGTTACCCCTTGTCTTCGTGTTTGTCTGATATGTTTCGCTCGGTTGACTTGAGGTTTTTAGCTTCTGCACAGATTGAGGAGTTAATCACATGTATTTTTTTTTCCTAATACACATGAAAATCAGTGTGTAACTATTTGTATTTTGAGACTGTGTACCACCACCTAACGTGGCTTTCCCCTTATCTGTGGAGGACACGTCCCCAGCGGATGCCAGAAGCTGCAGAAAGTACTGAACCAGGGCTTTGGTGTTTATCCTGTACGGCCCATAGCTTTGCCCCGGAGCACTGGAATTAACCTTTCCTACCATATTTTTTTGTTTTGTATTTAGGAGGCAGTGAAAGACAGAAAGAGAGAGCGCACTGCCATCCACTGATTCACTCCCCCAATGCCCACCCCGTGGTCAGGACTGACTCCAGAAGCCAGGAGCTCCATCCAAGCCTCCCACATGGGTGGCAGGGACCCATCACCTGCTGCCTCCCAGGGTGCACGTGAGCAGGGAGCTGGAGTTGAAAACAGAGCCAGGACTCAAATACAGGCACCCCAGTATGGGACGTGGGCAGCCTGACCAGTGGCTGAACTGCCGGCCACGCACCCACCCCCTATCCTGCTGTGCTCTGTGCTCTGGTGTCCCCCTGGCCTCAATCCTCTTGCCCTTTAGGGCCATTATTAGGGCAAATAAAAGCTGCCGGAACACAAGCCCTGGGGATACCCTGACAGTGGATTCCATAGCCCGGACAGCTAGGTCACTAACGTGCCTGGGGGAAGTCGTGTGCACAGCCTGGACACCCTGGACAAAGGGCTGAACCACACACGCAGTCTAAAACCTGTCAATTGTTTGCTTCCGGAATTTTCCACGTAATGTTTTTGGCCCGCAGTCGACCACAGATAAAGGGGAAGTGCTGTGCGTCCCACACCTTGGGCTGCTTTTACAAAGAACCCAGAAACACTGATGGAAAGGCCTGTCCCAGCTCGGCGTGCTGGCTCCCAGCTCTAAGCTGATAATGTTACCGGCGCGGCTTGAGGCTCATGGGAGAAGCTCACAGCACTTTCGGTGGTGGGGTTGGGGGGGAATGGAGGTGGGGGCAAGGGTGAGTCCAGGGGGCTGAGCTCCAGAAGCTGCTGGCCTCAAAGTTTCCCCCTCCCCCAACCCACCCGGCATAGATGTGGAGCTGGATCTGCAGAGGAGCGTACAAGCTGTGCTCCGGGAGCTCAGCGCCCAGGTCCCCGCCCTGCAGAGCAACCAAGGTAGGAGCCAGCAGCATGCAGCCTCCCCTACCCCACCCCAGCCTGCTCCGCCCACACACCCAGCAAAGGGCCCCAGCTGAGCCCCCTTCCCGCTGGAAACACCTGGAGAGGAACTGAGCTGGCTTCTCTGCTCCCTGGTTCAAGCGCTCCCCTCCCCCACACCCCGCCACCCAGCAGAGTGCCCTGGGGACCTGTTGCTTTCTCTCTTAGCTACCTCCCTACTCCACTTCCAAACCCAGCCTCCCCCGGGCACTCTAGCCTGTGGGACTTCCAGATGTGCCTCGGGGTCCATACCCGCAGCTCTGTGAGTGCCTACCCGTGGCTGTTGTCCCCACTTGTGTCCCACCCCCTGCTGGCTTCCACCTTGCAAATTCACTGTGCACCCACATGCACCTGCAGCCAAGCCCTGGCTGCGGCGTCGGAGCCAAGTCTGGCCAAAGTCACGGCCAGCGGCTGCTGAGGTCTGGGTCCCCCGCAGCAGGCATGTGGAGGTGGTCCCTGCACAAGAAGCTCGAGCGAGATCCTGCTAGGAGTCCCACGCTGGTTCGCATTCTGCTCAGGGAACTGGAAAAGGTGGGTTCCTGGGGGCTAGAGTGGAAGGGGAGCAGGTGCAAGTGGACATGAGCAGAAGAGAGGCTCACGGGTCCTGGGGCTCAGTTGCACTTGGGTCATTTGTGGGTGTGGCCTCGACCACACACATCTTCCTCCTATGCCTGTGCAGAAGCAAAAACTGTTTGTCTGAGAGGCACTGCTTCCGGGTTCCTGCCTGAGTCAGTGCTGCCCCTCCCCCACCTCCCACACCCATGCCACCCTGGTCCCAGGCAGGCTGGGACCCTTTCACTCCCCTTGGCATAACGGTCGCCACCTTCTACACCATCTCCTGCCCACCCCCAGCCAGTCCTGCTCGGAGCCTGGGGGAGTCCCAGCCAGGCCTGGCCCAGTAATATCCCCTGGTCTCCTGGTCTCCAGGCAGAGAGCGAGGACCTGCGGCACGTCATCATTCCCTTGCTGCACACCCTCATGTACGTGCTCACGAAGGTGAGCTGGGGACCGGGGGTTGACGTGGTGGTGGTGGTGGTGGTGGTGGTGGTGGCGGCCCCTGTGTGGCTGGGCTGGGCGCTGGCCCCGTGTGAGTCTGGGAAAACCTTTGCATTGTCTGCTCCAATCTGGCTCCCTGGCACTGGCCATGCCCTTTCCCTGTCCTGCGAAGAGAAAGGAGTGGAGAGACCACGGGGAAGTCGAGGCAGCATGGAACGGAAAGAGGCGGGGTGCGAGCAGTAACCCCAAGACTTGCAGCCTGGAAACCCACAGAAGCGTGTGGCTTCAACCGAGCAGGGCAGGGTTGGGGGGTGGAGTCTAATTGCTGGTGGGGCACAAGGCCATGGTGATTGGGGTGGGGGGCATCAGAGAGGCTGGCGGAACAAGCTGGAAGGGGTAGATTTGGGAGAGAGGCTCTCAGACCCGACTCTCCTCCTCCCCCTCCAACTCCCACCCCACCCAGACCCGTCATGCCTCAGGGCTCTGGGCACCCCAACCACCCCCTCTCCCTCAGGCCACGGGCATCCCCGAGGAGCTGTACCGCAGGACCTACGCCTTCTGCACCAGGCTCCTGACCCTGCCCGCGCCCTACTGCACAGTTGCCTTGGACTGCGCCATCAGGCTCAAGACCGAGGCGGCCGTGCCCGGTAAGGGCTGTTACACCCACACCACCTGAGCCCCGGGCCCTTCCCCCAGGGCACTGGGGAGCTCACACGTCTCAGCCACCATCCGCGGGGGACAGGACAGTGAGCACGAGGCCCCAAGGCTCGTCCCGGGGCTGGCTGACGGGGTCTGGTTTGCAGGGACGCTATACCAGAGGACTGTCATCGCTGAACAGAACCTGATGAGCGAGCTGTATCCCTACCAAGAGAGGTAAGCGGCCCTGGCTGCCTTAAGCCCCCTGGGGGGACAGGCACCTGCTTGGCTGCTCAGGGGCAGGAGGACAAACATGGGGCATGGGGTGGGGGCAGGATTCCTGGTGTTCACCCTCCAAGGGTGGAGAAGGCTGCATGTGTCTGTCTAGAGGCCCCTGGAGGTAGGACAGGGCTGTCTTCCTGAGCTGGACTTACAGGGTGGGGGTGGGGGTTGGATGTGGCCCTGGGGGGCACCCTGGAGCCCTGGGGTTGCACCTGCACCCTACCCTTGGCCGTGATGCAGCATCAAAGCAGCCGGGCAGCAGAGGCGGCTCCAGAGTGTCCTCCGTGTGTGCCCAGCGCCGGAGACAAGACCGTGGAATGTCCCGTTTGTATTGGCAGGGGCCTGATGGCAGAGGGTGCACGCCTCCCTCTTCTGCTGGGCCCTCCACTCACTTGGCACTGAAAGGCACAGCTGGAGTTTGAGGCTGGGGGTGCTGGGTGCAGGGAGGGGAAGGGGCGCCCCAGGGAGTCAGAGGGGAGAATGACACAGTTGAGTGAGGAGGACAGGTGGGTGAGGTTGGCTTCTGAGCATGATAAGGGTGACGTGAGGGGCTGGGACTCACTTACTCAGCATTCCATGCCCCAGTCCTGACAGGCAGGATGTGGAGTCCCTCCTGGAGGGTGACACGGCCCCCAGGCCAGGCTGCTGAGAGAGGAGCTTCCTTAGACATAGGACTCTGGCTGTATTCCTATATGACGTCCTTGGACGTCAGTGGAGTGAGCAGGACTGCCCCCCAGAAGTGCCTTGTGTGTTCTTGTTTGCCACAGCCCCCACCACTCCCTACTGCATTCCACTATAGACGTTTGGATTTGAGGCTCCTCCTTTTAAAGGAACTAAACAACTCGAGGTGGGTGGGGCTGCACAGCCCCGGGGGTGCCCCCCCATCCAGCCCCGCCCCCTCTACTCCTCCCCCTCAGAGTGTTCCTCTTCGTGGATCCGGAGCTGGTGTCTGCATCTGTGTGCACGGCTCTGCTGCTGGAGATCCAGGCGGCCCAGGGGCAGCAGACGCCCGAGGCCTGCATGCGCCACGTGGTCTCCCACGCCCTGCAGGCGGCTCTGGGGGAGGCCTGCCACGTGGGCGCACTGCACCAGAAGCTGCAGGTAACCAATGCCCGTGCCAGCCGCCCACCCGCCCTGCTGCTGCTCCCCCCTCTGCTATTCCACTTCCCCTCGGCCCCATCCCTCTAAAGTGCATTCAGGGGACCACAGAAGACCCGACAGCTGCCAGTGAGCTACAGGGCAAATTAAAAATCACAGAGTAGTCAGCCTTTATGTCCTCAGTAGCTACGATGTTCCTGGTTGCAACAGCCGCGGTTTCTGGCAGGTCCGTTCTGTTCCAGGCACTGCATCACACATGCGCACACACACACACCATGGCATTGGGACACGGATACAATGACCATCTGCATTTGCAGTTGGGGACATTAAGGCACGGAGCTGTACAGAGCTCACACACGTGCAAAGTGCCTGAGCCAGGATCTGAACCCAGAACTGTTCACTAGCCCATCAGCCCTTCTAGCTCCTTGACAAATCAAGATCCCAAACTCTCCCCGGGGGGGGGGGGGTATGCACTGCACGCGTGCCCATGCACATATATGTAACGTTTCCTTCCCCCTGTCCTTGGAAAGAGGCCGTATGGAAGCCTGTGCTGTCACTCACTTCCCCAGCCCCCACTCCTGTCTAGGGCATCTGAGCTCTTGCAGGGAGGAGCCCCGACCACTGCCAGCCAGAATCCTGAGCTTCCAGGGCCACAGCAGAGGGGACCCCCCCACACACACACACCCGCTGGGCTGAGACTCCGCGGACACTGCGCGGGAGTCGGGGTCCCCGGGCTCTGACGCCTTTCCCCGGCAGGCCAGCCCCCGCCGCACCCTGGAGCGCTATTTCCACGCCGTGGTGGCAGCCGTGGAGCAGGTGGCAAGCGAGGGCAGCCCGAGCCGCGCCGGACACCTGGAGCGGCTGGAGGAGATTTACTGCTCGCTGCTGGGCCCGGCAGCCGCCGCCAGGGGGCATCGCGCAGGTAAGTGGCAATCGCGGGTCGGCGGCGGCGGCAGGGGGCGCCAGAGAGCAGTGCAGCCGCTGCTAGGGGTGTGCCCGCGTGCAGAGGGTGCCGGACATGGAGCGTGCGGGCCCCCGGGGCGGTCTAAGGACGTGGCGGCCGGCCAGCAGGCTAAGCAGGTGGCCGATTTGGGCTTCGTTAGCAGCACACACCTGCAGAGCCCCTTGCTGTCTCCCTGTTGCTGTTCTTAGCGCTTCACACATAGTTAAATATCTTAGGTCTATTAGAGCAACTGGTCCTCACTGTGGACTCGGGAGATGGAAACTATGATGATTCCGTTTTCCAGAGCAGAATAACTGAGTTAGAAAGAGGTTAAAAATCTTGCCCCAGATCACCCAGCCTTGTGAGTGGCAGAAGCAATGCTCAAACCCAGGCTGTCTGGCTCTCCACCGCTCTGCTCCTTGGTGTGCATGGTTCAGAGCTCTGCCACCCGGGATCTGAAAGAGAGGAGCCAGCCCCGGGGTGTCGGGAATCTGTATTTCCTGGCTGCGGTGGGTGGGTTCCCCCGTGGGCCCTGTTCCAGGCTCACCCAGAGCGTCCGTGGAGCGTGCCAGCCTGGGTGTACCAGGATGCACCTGTGTCCTACCCAGACTTGCTCCGTGCATCTGTGTGCCCAGCCCCCTGAGAAGCCCATATGGCTACAGGGGGGACAGTGGTTACAAGCGCAGTGTCATGGGTAACAGCCGGGCAGCCTGGGCTCAACTTCTGCCTCTGCCAACCTTGGGCAGATGGTTAGCCCTTGCTGGTTCTCCCAGCTCCTCCCTTGTGAACTGGGGCTGTTGCCTGTCAGCCAGGTCGCTGGCAGCATCCAGAGAAAGGGGATTACGAAGTGTGCCAGGTGAGTCGACCCGCGCCTGGCAGGTGGGGAGTGCTCCCTCCTGGGAAACCTGCAGCCTCGTTAGGGAGGGAGGCACAGCTGGGTAGAAGTTAGAGAGGGACGCAAGAGCCAAATCCTACTGCCAGACACAAGCTGGACCCCGTGTGCAGACAAGAAAGTCTGCCCGGAGGGAATGACCCCTGGGGACCACCGGCGAGGTCAGAAAAGGCTTCCAGAAAGCCAAGGGAGGGCAGGGCTGCCCTGGTCTCTGCTCCGCGCTGCCCTAGCACCCACAGCAGGAGCAACTGTTGACTGACTGTGCACCATGTGCGGGCGACCGGAAGTGGCTCTGAGAAACCAGAGCAGCCTCAGGCTGGCAGGGTGACGTGGGGCTGAGAGGAGGGGCAGTGGAGGGAGCAGAGGCTGGAAAGGACCCTCTGGGCTGGTTTGGGAAGGGTCCCGGAGGCAGAGCTGGACACCTTGGTGCAAGCAGGAGCCCACTAAGCTTTCTTGGGTGGGAAGGGGCAGCAGCAGTGCTGGACCCTCCGAGAACGGAAGGCAGCAGATGCCAGCCGCCGGGGAGAAGTCCCAGCCAGCCCTGGGGACCCCCACATGGGAGCTGGGCAGGGGGCGCGCCGCAGAATGCTGTCCTCCAAGGTCTGCACAGCCCCCTCCTCTCCTCAGGTGACCCCACCCAGGACCGGCCACCAAGCACCCCCCTGCCCAGCCCCTACATCACTTTCCACCTGTGGACGGACGAGGAGCAGCTCTGTATGTGCCTGGGGCCCATTTGCTGCTGTGTGGGGTGCTGGCTGGAGACGGGTGGGGGTGGGGGTTCCAGCAGGTGTCTGTGCCCATGTGTGAGTGTGTGTGTGAGTGTGTCTGTCTCGGTGTGTGCACCTTGTCCCTCCCTAAGCTGTTGCGTGTGCCTGGAGGAAAGCCACCAACTCCTTCCATCGCTAAAACTCAGCACCTTGGTCCTTGGTCCCGTAACCACCTCGTGCCCCTGCCTCTCCTCAAGAGAAGAGAAGGACGCACAGGCTATGCTGGGAAGAAGCCTGGGACCAGGGAGCTGGGCTCACGCCTTGGCCCTTCCCTTCCCATGCTGAGCCACACGAGTCGAAGCCGGCTCTCCTCCGTGCCCTCGAGGCCCCGTACCTGTGTCTGGAGGAAGCTCCGGGGGCTGGGAGGCTGGGAGCACACGGTTGCACAGAGGGGGCCGGGGGTCGGCTGAATGCTGGGGAAGATTGAGGGCATAGCTGTAGGACTTCTCAGGACCTTTAACAGGGTGGCAGGAGCGAGTGGGACTCTGCAGCTTTGCTGACCACAGAGCCTTGCAGTGTCTGGGCGACACGGGCCCCGGGCCTCACCACCCTGACAGCACCCATATCCTCGGCCCTCAGGGAAGGAGCTGCTGCTCTTCCTCCGCCCACAGTCCCAGCCACGCCTCAGCGCTGACCTGGAGGCCTTGGATCTGCAGGGCTTCCGGCCAGACCGGGACATGGCCCGAGTGTCCGTGCTGTCCACGGACAGCGGCATCGAGCGTGACCTTCCTCTGGGGCCCGAGGAGCTGCCGGCGCCCGGCAGCCCAGAGCTGGAGCGTGTGGGGCTGCAGCGCAAAGGGGGCGTCAAGAAGCGGGCGTGGCCTCCGGACCTCCTGATGCCTGCTGGCTGGGCCGGGCCCTCAGGGCTGCACCGCAGGACGGGCAGGCCCGGCAGTGATGGGGAGCTACTGCCCGGTGTCTCCCGGCTGCACACGGCCCGCGTGCTGGTGCTGGGTGATGACAGGATGCTGGGACGCCTGGCCCAGGCCTACCACAGACTCAGGTGAGGGGCTGGAGACAGGGGCTGGGATGGGGAGGGCCCAGGGAGGGGCAGGATGGGCTGGGGGAAGAAGGAGGCTGCAGGGGACCGGCTGCTGTACACTTGTCGGCCCTGTTAGTCCTTGTCACCACCCTGCCAGGGCCTCACGATCACGCCCATTTTATAGACGAGAAAACAGAGGCTCGATGAGACAGCCTAAATCCCTCTGGTGACAAATAATGAATATAAATGGCAGGGCCAAGGCTACTGGAAGCCAACCCCTCACTCACCTTCTGTGCTTCGCTGCCTGTTGCTAGGAAACGGGAGACCCAGAAGTTCTGCCTCACCCCCAGGCTCAGCCTGCAGCTCTACTACATCCCCGTGCTGGGGCCACAGGTGATGGAGGCTGGGGCAGGAGAAGGGGCTGGGTCTTGGCCTAGGAGTTAGGAACCCTGGCTGGGTCACCTGCAACCCACATTTAGCACCCGCCGTGCCAGGTTCCTGCTAACGTGTGCAATGGGAGGCAGCCGTGATGGCTTGAGTCGTTGGGTCCCTGCCACCTATGTGGGGGGCTCAGGGTTGAGTTCCTGGCTCCTGAGTTGCCCCCCCCACCCACTACTGCACATTTCTAGGGACCACACAGGCAGGGAGAACTCACCACAGGTGCAGGTCTTACTCTCTACTGCTCACTCCCGTTCTTAGCCGGGATGACTGTCGGCCAATGTCCCTGGCCAATGGCCCTCAGCAAAGCACACGCAGGGCAGAAAGGGAGGCCCCGAGCGATGAAGTGGGTGACCACATCTACAAAGCAAAGGTGGACGAGCCCGGGGCCCCTCTGGCCAGGAAGTGAGGGCCCCACGGGCCTGCCTCACCCCTCCTCCTCTGCAGCAGTCCACTACGTCCGGGCAGCTGGAGCTGGGGGAGCTGGCGGAGCTGGCCGTGTTCCTGGGCCGCGCAGACCCCTGGTACGAGAGCACGGTGAACACCCTGTGTGCCGCCATCCACAAGCTGGCTGAGATGGTAGGGGGCAGCAGGGCGGGGCGGGGAGCTGGGGCGGGGGAGCCGGGGTGCATCCAGGGAGCGGGGCTTTGGGGAAGACACAGGACATTCTCAGCTATGAAGCTCTGGAGGCGCCTTCATAATTCTCCTGTCGGTGTTTGACGTGCAGGAATTTAGCATTCTGTGCAGGCCGGGGGTGTTTTTATTCTTCATTGTTTCTGCCCTGGAGTTAGGCGCTGAACAGCCTGCTCCACCGCGGGATTAAATAAATACCCCCGCGTAGTTCATGCCAGCGTGCATAGCGTCTCCGTTTCTGCACTTCACTTGTTACCCATCTGCGAGATTTTAGTGTTTACTGTAAGGTGTGCAGTCTTATCATTTCCAAACATTCAGTCAGTCGTCTTAAAGCTATTTATTGCCTAACCCATCTGGCCGCATCCATTTGAAATGTTGCTTTTATTAATCGCTGAATTCCTACTTATGCTTGGGTTTATTTCTGTCTCATTGATCCAACCATTTCTGTACATGTTAGCATGTTGCTATTTTAATCCCTGGCATGTATTTCATTGTTGAAAACTTTTCAAGCTATGCTTGTATATTCTATCTTCTTTGATAAGCTTTAGAATTTCATGTTGGCATGTAGAGGAGCATGCATATCTCTCTCTCTCTCTCTCTCTCTCTCTCTCTCTAAATATTTTATTTATTTATTTGAGAGGTAGAGCTACAGATAGTGAGAGGGTGAGACAAAGAGAGAGAGGTCTTCCATCTGCTGGTTCACTCCCCAAATGGCCACAACGGCCAGAGTTGCACCTATACAAAGCCAGAAGCTGGGAGCTTCTCCTGGGTCTCCCACGTGGGTGCAGGGGCCCAAGCATCTGGCTTTCCCAGGCCACAGCAGCGAGCTGGATAGGAAGAGGAGCAGCTGGGACTCGAACCGGTGCCCATATGGGATTCCAGCATGGCAGGCGGCCCCTAGTGCATTTCCTTCTAAGAGAGCATGATCTGACTTTCTATTATTAACGTCTTCTTGTATCCCCTATCAGCGTACCCCTACAGCTTTCATCAGGCAGTGTCTCTGATTCCTTGCTAAACCTCTGCCTCGCGTTTGATAACGATTCTTGCTGTTAGCGAGGGCTTCTTCCTCCCGTTATATCTGGTTAACAGTCATAGCAGAGGGAGCTCTGCTTTTTATTTATTTGAGATCATTTCAATTGCAAAAAAAACCACACACATTACAAAATGCACCGTCTTTTTCCCTATTTATCTGTTTAGCTCAGTACTCTACTGAGCTGTCCATTTCGCTTCATCGTCCGATTGATTTGGATGTCTTCTTACGTGTGTGATTCAGGGTGGTGCGTGTTCTCTGAACAATGCCTTCTCCGACAGGACCTTCGCACACACACAGGGCTACTTTGTGCCCCCGAAACCTGAAAGATCTTGCAGGAGCCACCTTTGCTGCAGGCCTCATGGGTGGTTTCTTTTCCCAGCCAACACACCTGTAAAATATTGGGTCTCCCCCGCCCCCGCCTGTTCCCTCCCCTTATAATGAACCATTTGTGTGGCCCTTGGTCTTCCTCGGAAGCATCTTCCGCAGGGAGAGACTGCAAGTGTCTTGGGCAGTGCCAGCATCATTAGGAAAGCGCTTGCTCTCTGTGGCCTTCCCGAAGGGAACCACATGAAGTAGACCAGATGCGAGAGCCCCGAGGTGGCTTTCCAGGCTGGGGTGTGAGTTGGACCAAACCAACGTCTTATCTGTGAGCTTCTTTCCAACCCCGGCGCTCCCGGCTGAGCACATCCAGACTTTGAAGCTCTCTGAGCGCCCGCCTGGTATCACAATGGAGAATTGTGCACCTGCCTGGGTGATGGTTACTGTGAAAACACAGGCACACTCAAAACAGTGCAGAAAAGGGCGTTCGGACTATGTGTATAAGGTGTCTGTGAAACGAGCAGACTTGGGTCTCACCCCCCCAGGTTCGGTTTTTTTTTTTTTTTGGACAGGCAGAGTTAGACAGTGAGAGAGAGAGAGACAGAGAGAAAGGTTTTCCTTTTTCCGTTGGTTCAACCCCAAGTGGTTGCTACGGCCATTGCATTGTGGCCAGTGCACTGCGCCAATCCGAAGCCAGGAGCCAGGTGCTTCCTCCTGGTCTCCCATGCGGGTGCAGGGCCCAAGCATCCTCCTCTGCCTTCCCTGGGCCACAACAGAGAGCTGGACTGGAAGAGGGGCAACCGGGACAGAATCCGGCACCCCAACTGAGACTAGAACCCCGGGGTGCTGGTGCCACAAGGCGGAGGATTAGCCTAGTGAGCTGCGGCGCCAGCTCGTTCGTTCTTTCTTTCTATCTATCTATCTATCTATCTATGCAGATATTCCAAAATCGGGGAAGAAATCTGAAATGCAAGAATACTTGTGGTTCCAAGCACTTCAGATAAGGGATGATCAGCCTGTGTTCTACTCTGTGTTCTGTTTATCTTTAAAAAAAAAAAAATCCTCATGCTTTGTAATCACGTAAGGCTAGGGAACAAGAACCAAGTCCATTCCCAGTAGCAGGCAAACATTCATTAGCTTGTTAAGAAGTCCTGGAACTGCCAGAGCTGAAGGAGACCTCAGGCCATGGGATTTGGCCTCTGGTTTTCCCTGGAAGGAAACTCAGGCATGGAAGAGCTGGAATTGCTTGTCCCAGGCCTGGCCCAAGGGCAGCCAGCGGGAACCCAGAGCTTTGTCCAGGCTTCCTTCATCAGCTCCGCCCCCAGCAGCCCCGCCTGCAGCCTCTCCAATGGACATGCTTACATGCTTAATGTGTCTTTGTGGAACTGACATGAATCAGGTTCGGTGTTGGGGGGGAGGTGGGGCCCGGCAGGAGTATTTCACCTGGTATTGACACTCGGGCGGTGGCAAAGGGCTGAATGTGTGCAAAGACCCGCTGGGTTTGTGTATCACAGAGAGCATGTGGGGCCTTGCTCCTTCTGCCAGGAAAGTGGCCCCTCCCACCTGGCTGAGGACACTGTTGTCTTCCCCACAGCCTCCCTCCCTGGACACTTCCCGGGCCGTGGACCCCTTCATCCTGGATGGTATCACCTACTACGTCCGCATGGGCACCCACCCCGTCTACTTCCAGATCTACATGGTCAAGGTCAGCCTCCCACCCGGGGCCCCAAGGGTAATGGGACAGCCCTCCGAACCCCAGGACCCTGCATCCGCAACACCCTAGCTCCTGGGAGATCTTGGCCCAGCGGGCTGCAGGCAGGGGCCGTGAGCAGGTGCTCTGGGTTGTTGGCCATGTCTTCTTCTTCTTCTTTTTTTTTTTTTGGACAGGCATAGTGGACAGTGAGAGACAGAGAGACAGAGAGAAAGGTCTTCCTTTGCCGTTGGTTCACCCTCCAATGGCCGCCGCGGCTGGCGCACTGCGCTGATCCGATGGCAGGAGCCAGGTGCTTCTCCTGGTCTCCCATGGGGTGCAGGGCCTAAGCACCTGGGCCATCCTCCACTGCACTCCCTGGCCACAGCAGAGGGCTGGCTTGGAAGAGGGGCAACCGGGACAGAATCCGGCACCCCGACTGGGACTAGAACCCGGTGTGCCGGCACCGCAAGGCGGAGGATTAGCCTAGTGAGCCGCGGCGCTGGCCGGCCGTGTCTTCTTCCCGTCCAGATGAATCGCGTGGTTCTTGACTCCCAGGAACTCAAACCCAAGCTAGCCAGGGCTACGCTGCTGAGACTACACTCTGTTTTCTGTCTCTGCTCACCAACTCCCGTCGCTCCGAGGCACTCCTCCTTGCGCCGCACCTCCGTCACCCTCACGCAGACCTGCAGGCCCCTCCGTCTTCTCATGCCCACCCGCCCCTGCTGCCTCGCTTCCTCTGCCGCGGCCGCTTGCTCCCCAACCCCTCTCTCACGGGTCCCTCCTGCCCGGCTTGTACTCCTTCCCTACCCTCTGCATCCCAGCAGCACCCAAGCCTGGAGGATCCGTGCCATGATGGGTCTTGTTTTTGGCCACCCTTGGGCTCCTGAGTAACTCCTGGGAAAACAAATCCAAAACACCCTGGCTTGACGTCTCCCCACATTCCTGGGGCCCACCCCCAGGGCAGCTTCCTCTCCCTCTGCAACAGTGGCTGCCACCACCCTGCTCAAGCCCCTCCCTTCAGCCAGTGCCTTTCCCCACCCACCTCCCCCCCCCCCCCCCCCGCCTCGGGAAGAGAGCAGGCGTCCAGCCTCATGGCGGACACGCCTGTGTCCCTTGTTGGAGTCTGGTTTAAGGAAGAAAGAAAAAGGTACTGTAATTGCTCACCTTGTCCAGGGCCAACGGTGGCTTCATAAAAGCTGGACTTGAGAACAGCGTCGTGTCCTCAGGGCGGTTTCGCGCTCTCTCCCTCCCCCTGCCTCTCGGTGAGGAGAGGGTCAGCAGCAGTTGCTGATCCCCCTTTGTGAGCCTGGCAACCGTCCCCTCTTCCCACGTGCCGGTGCCCACACCATGGCTGTGCCCCAGGAGGCGGGTCCCACATCCCCACTGGGGGCCAGAGTTCTCCTGTTCCTTCTCTCTGGTTTGATCCTCAAACCCTGGTAGGCGGGCTCTGGTCTTGCCAATCATCTAACTGAGCCCGGCTTCCACGCCGGGTACCCAGGTACCCATCTGTGTTCGCATCACGATTACAAAAATGCAAGCGTTATGCTCCCCTTCCTGACGCTGACCCGTCCCTGACTCTTGCCCCACCCACTCCTGGTTTGCCCCACCCACTCTTGGTTTGCCCCACCCTCTCAGCCCCTCGGCCCCAGCTGGAGTCGGGGCCATGCCTCTGAACTCCTGCAATGCTCTAGGCCCAGCCTGGCCTGGCCTGCTCTGTTTCACTGTGCGATGCACCCCTGCATGCAGGTGCCACTCCCCACCAAAGCCAGGTGTCCCCCTGTCCCCGTGACCGGCTGGCTCGCCTCCATTCTGTCCCTGACAAGTAAGGGACTACAGTTCAGAGAGCAAACGTTTATTGAAAGATGTTCCAAGGAGGAGCGGGCAGCAGAGAGAGCATGTGGCCCCCTTTCCTCCTGGCTTGGGGCACGAGGGGCATTCGCTGGCGACGTGGCCCATGACACTCGTGATCGGCATTTGTGATGGACATCTAGGTACCGCCGACCTTTGTGGGGGGCTGGGCTCCCGTGGTGTCAGGATGCTGTACCCACAAGCCCACCTGCAAAGTGGCCATCCTGGCTGGGTCTCAGAGAGCAGCTTCCTTAGTTCCGCCCTTGGGGGAGGGGTCCTGCGGCCCCTCCCCAGCTGCTCTTGTCTGATGATCTGCCTGGCACCTGGAGATGAGGGGCTGTGTTTGTTTGTCCTGGAATCTCTTGCTGTTAGCACCGGAAACTCTGTGTGTGTGTGCGTGAATCAGTGTGGCCCAGGGGGTTGGCTGGTGGAATGTGTGTGCAGTGAGACAGCATGGGCTGGTAAAACATTTGTGGTTCCCCATCCCAGCTCTCCCCACCCCCACCCAGCGACCTAGGTGATCATTGGCAGCCCCACCCACCAAAAACCGATTTTTCCTCCTTATTTAAAATGGAAACAATTATCTTCCTTGGCCATAGGATTCTTGTGAGAACTTAAAGGAGTAGAAAAATAGAGATGAAGGACGATGAGGGTAAAATGAAGGCCAGGAGGTAGACAAGCAAAAAAAAAATTTAAAAAAAAATGCCATCAGAGTGCCTGGGTTCAAGTCCCAGCTTCACTTCCAAGTCCAGCTTCCGGCTAACGCACACACCCTGGGAGGCAGCAGGTGCTGATGGCTCCAACAGCTGGGTCCCTGCCACTCATGTGGGAGACCCAGATGGAGTTCTGGCAGCTGGCTTAGCTGTTGCAGGCATTGAGGGAGTGAATCAGCAGACGAGTGGTCTCTGTGTGACTTTCTGTCCCTCTCTTTCCATGTCTCTCTTTCAAATAAATACGATTTTTTTGAAACTTTAACAATCTCTGTTTGCTTGACTCTGATCCCACGTTCTCAGCACTGCCTCCAGCCCTTCTGCCTTTTTTTTTTTTTTTTTTGACAGGCAGAGTGGACAGTGAGAGAGAGACAGAGAGAAAGGTCTTCCTTTGCCGTTGGTTCACCCTCCAATGGCCACCAAGGCCGGCGTGCTGCGGCTGGCGCACCGCGCTGATCCGATGGCAGGAGCCAGGTGCTTTTCCTGGTCTCCCATGGGGTGCAGGGCCCAAGCACTTGGGCCATCCTCCACTGCACTCCCTGGCCACAGCAGAGAGCTGGTCTGGAAGAGGGGCAACCGGGACAGAATCCGGCGCCCCGACCGGGACTAGAACCCAGTGTGCCAGTGTCGCTAGGCAGAGGATTAGCCTAGTGAGCCATGGTGCCAGCCCTCCATTATTCTTATTAACAAGGTCGGGGAGTCAGCTGGCCCCATAGAAGGGGACTTCAAAAAGTTCATGGAAAATTGAATTTTAAAAGTTTCTTGGGGCCAGCATTGTGGCATAGCAGGTAGAGCCACTTGCCTGCAATGCTGGCATCCCTTATGGGCACCAGTTCATGTCCTGGCTGCTCTGCTTCCAATCTAGCTTCCTGATAATGGCCTGGGAAAACAGTGCAAGATAGCACAAGTCCTTGGGCCCCTGCCTCCATGTGGGAGACCCAGAGGAAGCTCCTGGGACCTGGCTCCAGCCTGGCCCAGCGCTGGCCATTGCAGCCATGTGGGGAGTGAAACGGAAGATTCTCTCTCTCTCTCTAATTCTGATTTTCAACATATTTTTTTAAATATTATTTTGGTACAGAAAATAGGTCTTTTTTCTAATTTTTGTTTTCATTTTTATTGAAAGGCACAGGGTCGGGGTGGTGGGGGGAGGGGGAGAGGAGAGGGAGAGGGAGAGAGAGAAGGAGAGAGAGAGAGGGAGGGAGGGATGGAGGGAGGCAAGGAGAGGGAGAGAGAGAGAAAGGCCTTTCTTCCCTTGGTTCACTCCCCTAATGCCTGCAACAGCCAGGGCTGAGCAGGGCCAAATCCAGGAGCCAGGGACTCCATCTGGGTCTACCGTGTGGATGGCAGGGACCCAACTAACTTGAGCCATCATCTGCTGCCTCCCAGGGCAGGAAACTGGATCAGAAGCAGGGGCCGGCACCGCGGCTCACTAGGATAATCCTCCGCCTTGCGGCACCAGCACACCGGGTTCTCGTCCCGGTCGGGGTGCCAGATTCTGTCCCGGTTGCCCCTCTTCCAGGCCAGCTTTCTGCTGTGGCCAGGGAGTGCAGTGGGGGATGGCCCAAGTGCTTGGGCCCTGCACCCCATGGGAGACCAGGAGAAGCACCTGGCTCCTGCCATCGGATCAGCGCGGTGCGCCAGCCGCAGCACGCCGGCCTTGGTGGCCATTGGAGGGTGAACCAACGGCAAAGGAAGACCTTTCTCTCTGTCTCTCTCTCACTGTCCACTCTGCCTGTCCAAAAAAAAAAAAAAAAGAAGCACAGTAGCTGGGACTGGAACCAGGTGCTCCGGCATGGGGTGCTGGCATCCCAAGTGGCAACTAAACTGCTGCACCACAACACCCATCCAGCAAAAAAGTTTCCTTTGTTGTCACACATGTCTTGCAAGAACAAGGTTTGCTGTGATGGAACAGTGAGGGGATGGCTGTGTCTGTGTCGCCCACGGCTGGGCAGGGGTCTGGCTTCCATCTTGTTTGTTTTTTTTTTTGTTATTATTTATTTATTTGAAAGGCAGAGTTACAGAGAGCGAGAGAGAGAGAGGGGTCTTCCATCCACTGGTTCATTCCCTAATTGGCCACAACGGCCAGAGCTGGGCAGATCTGGAGCCAGGAGCCAGGAGCTTCTTCCAGGTCTCCTATGTGGGTGCAGCAGCCCAAGGGCTTAGCCATCTTCTACTGCTTTCCCAGGCCATAGCAGAGAACTGGACTGGAAGTGGAGCAGCCGGGACTTGAACCAGTGCCCATATAGGATGCCAACACTGCAGGCAGTGTCTTTACCTGCTACACCACAGCACTGCCCCCTGGCTTCCGTCTTAATCAATCCCAGTCACAGAGCTGCCTTGCCTTATGAAGGTGGCATCTGTGACACTGTCCCTGGTCAACAGGACACCGTGGACCTGCTGGGAGCACCGGCCAGCTCCTGGTTCCCAGGGCTGCTTTTCTCTTTCTCACATCCCTGTTCTCAAAACCCTTTGGCCACTCCTCCACGCTGCCTGCCCAGACTTCCTCCATTGCCCCAGACACACCTGGTCTCTCCCGGCTCCTGGATCCCCACTGGGGTCTCCCCCCCTGCCTCCCCCTTAGCCAGCAGGTCACACTCCTTGGCACTGCCTCTAAATGGATTGCATCGCCATGGATACAGGCAGATCCAGAGCCGCCTGAGGCAGTCTCGTGCCGCAGCTCTGCAGGTGGGGAGGGACGCCCACCAGGCTTCTGTCCTTTGTGCAGAGCAGGTCAGGTGGGAGCCTTCTCCAAGCCATTCCTCCTCCTCGCCCCTCCAGATCTTCTTCAGTGACCCCAGCCAAGACCCCGTGGAGGATGTTTTTCTCACCGAGCTGAAGGCCAAGATCCAAGACTCCAAGTCCCCCAAAGGTGAGCTTCCGCCTCCCTTTTTTCCAAAGCTCCCCTGGGCCCAGCTTCCCCAAAACTCAGCTCCTCCCCCTCTCCCCTAATGCCACCCTCATCCCCTCGGCCTGACCCCCTGCTGGGTACCAGGGCTGCCCATGTGTCCCGTTCCCCCCCACACACACACCCCGCCCCAAGTCTGACCTTGCACCTGGGGAGAGGTGCAGGGAACCAGCACCTGGGGGTTCACACCTCACCCCTGTGATCTTCCCCCAGATGGGTTTTCCCCTAGGAGGCGAGGTGTGGCCGAGAGCCTGGGGGCTGAGCTGTCCATGTGCTACCAGAAGGTAGGTGTGCTTGGGCGAGGCTGGGAGGGAGGTGGCACACAGGCAGCCAGAGGGCAGACTGGGGGCAGGGGGGCAGGGGGGATGCAGCTAGAGCCAAAGGAACTCTCTGTCCCTTGGGTTGAAGTTGCCCACCCCCCACCCTCCATCTCCCAGCCTTCAGGGCTCTCTGCAGGGTCACCATGCAGGCAAGGAGGTGACCCCGGGGAAGGGACCGGAGGCTGACCCCTGACTCAAAAGCACCCTCCCCACCAGCTGAGCGGAAGCTCGAACCCATCTCCCTGGGGTCCGGAGGCTGATCAGATGCTCCCGGCCAGGAGTACTGTGAGCCTCTACCTGCTAGCCCCTTAGTGGGCATCAGCAATGCAGACTCTTGGGGCAGGGGCAGAGGCAGGAAGCAGAGGACAGAGGTGAGGCCATGGGTGTGAGGCTGCTTGGGGCAGGGGGAATGTCTTGAGGACCCCATATTTTCCTCTACGCCCTCTCCCAGGCCTTGCTCAGCCACAGACCCCGGGAGGTCACTGTCTCCCTGCGGAGCACTGGGCTGGTCCTGAAGACCATCCCGACTGGTGACACTGAAGGTGAGGAGCTGGGGACAAGAAGGGGAAAGTCAGGGTGGGTGGGATATGGGGTATCCCAGGAGGGAGGCCTCTCACATCACCCCTTCCCATCAAGGGCTGGAGCTGGGCTCAGGGCTGGGCCCAGTGCTGGCCGGAGGGCCGCAGGGCCTCTACGCTCAGCTGGCTCACTGTTGAGCAACCCAGACTCTGGCCTTGACCCCTGGACTGAGCCTCTGCCAGCTGGAGTATCACAGCTGGAAGGTGGAGGCACCCCAGGGCTGGGGTGCAGGTGGCTACAATCTGTTTGGAAATTTGAGATTTTTTAATGTCATTTAAAAAAAAACATAAATTATCAAAGACCCCAATTTCTGTGCAAATAGTTAGAAATATTAGCTCCTACTGTGAGATCCCTGGTCTCCCAGGGGAAAGGGAAAGATGCCAACATGGACCATTCCCCACGGCATGTGTTAGCAGAGGTCGGGCAGTGTGCTAGATGCACAAGCACTTTTAAGTGTGTTCGTGCTACGAGATGGGTTTTCTTGGCATTGGCCACTTCTTACTGGAAAGGAAACCAAAGCAAAGAGAATAACTCACCCAGGTTCCCCTCTGGGAAGGAGAGTCGGAAGGGGACTCAGACCCAGGCCTTCCCAGCGCTGCCCCTTGCTGCTCCCCTCCCAGACCCAAGGGATGTTACCCCCTGATGTCTGCAGATCATTTCAGAGCAGAAGAGAAAGCCCCCCCAGGCAGCTGTACATTCGGTTCTGCGCCCTAGCCTCTGTCCTAACACGTGGTAGACACTCAACAAACACTTGCTAAATAAATGAGGTGCCACCTTACACCCCAAAATTTGTTTCTTAAAAAAATTGATTTATTTATTTGAAAGAGAGAGAAAGACAGAGATAGTCCATCTGCTGGTTCACTCCCAAGATGGTCACAATAGTCAGGGCTGGGCCAGACTGAAGCCAGGAGCCAGGAGTTTCTTTAGGTCTCTCACATGAGTACAAAAGCCCAAGCATTTGGACCATCTTCACAGCTTTCCCAGGTGCATTAGCAGGAAGCTGGATTGGAAGTGGAGCAGCCGGGACTCGAACCGGCACCCATATGGTGCAGCTTTACCCTCGATGCCACAATGCTGGCCCCCCTTTTGTTCCAAAATTTGTTTTTAAAGTTGAGTGAGTGAATTTATAATTTTTTTAAAGACAGAGAGAAAGGTCTTCCATCTGCTGATTCACTCCCCAAATGGCTGCAACAGCCGGAGTTGAGCTGGTCCAAAGCCAGAGCCAGGAGCCAGGATCTTCTGGGTCTCCAACATGGGTGCCGGGACCCAAGCACTTGGGCCATCTTCCACTGCTTTCCCAGGCCACTAGCAGGGAGCTGGGACGTGGCGCCCATATGAGATGCTGGCACCACAGGCAGAGGCTCAACCTACTATGTATGCCTCAGTGCCGGCCCTGAATTTAGAATTTTCCAGAAGAAATTCTGAATGAACATACACATCGGCCAGGCCAGAATACTTATGAGGAAGCCCACTCCGACCCCTCCTCTCCTGTGCAACTTCAAGCAGTTACTCCGCCTGTAGTACCACGGCTTGGCCAGCATCCCATCAGCACACCTCTCTGTGTGCTGTGCATTTGTCTTCTTAAGAGGATACCAGATCACATTTGACACAAGGGGAAAAACAAGGAGTAGTGTATGACCTGCTGAGAGTGACACAGAAACTTTGTGAATATTCCAGGGGACGGAAATGGATAAGGAGGAAGAACGTGAACCTTAGCTGGGCCCCAGGAGGAACCACGAAGTGGGCTCCCAGAGGGGTGTGGCAGCAGGAAGGGGCACTGTGGGCTCCCTGAGGTTGGCTTAGGGTCTGGGGTCTCTAACTCCCCTACCTCCCTGGAGGCCCAATCACAGCCGTCTCCCCCTCCCCCAACTCATTCAGTCGCAGGGACCCCGCTCTGCCCCGCTGCTGCTGCTCCGGTGACAGACCACACGTGTCTGCATGTCAGTGTGACGGAGGTCATCAAGTCCTCCAACCTGGCAGGAAGATCCTTCTCCGTAAGTACGGGGTGCACGTGGAGAGGAGGCCGGCCGGGTGGGACGTGGCTGGGGGCTGGGAGCCCAGCAGGGGGAGTGCAGAGCAGGGGAACCAGGGTTAGTCCGCTTGAAGCGCTCAGCACCAGCTGGTACAGTCAGGCGCCCCATCAGCTGCCAGAGACCCTCCAGGATGGCAGTGGACAGCAGCATGCGCCTGCCTTCTACTGCCCTGACACACGCCACAGCTGGGTGTCAGCAGCGACAGTCCAGCCCCTGACCAGACCAAGCCATCGTGTCCAACCCCGTGCCCCCTGTGGCTGCCCGTCGGCCCCGATTTGATGCTCACGGATAGCAGATATGAGATTCACCCCTTCCTCCCTGTCTGATGGCCCCTCGGGAGCCCACCTCCTCATGCTGCTTGCATGGCCTCGGGGCCCCACAGTCACCTCTGAACTGTACTCTCATTAGCAGGCACCACCTCCAGGCAGACGCCCGTGAAATCCAGGGGCCCAGGGCTTCTGGAGTAAATGTTGCATCCATATTGATTAGGGGCTCACCTGCCTCCCCAGGGTCCTCGGTGCCACTCAGCCCCCTTCTTGTCCATCCCCTCGGGCTCATCCCCACATGCTGGCAATTCTCCTCTCTCTAGCTCTGACCTTGACCTTCATCCAAAAAAAAAAAAAAAAAGGAACCTAGCAATTAGGAAGCTGTGTCCTGGGTTCAATACCCGGCTCTGGCACCTGACTCCAGCTCCCTGCTAATGCAGACCCAGGGAGGCAGCAGTGCTGGCTGAGGTGTTGCCAGTCCCGGCTTTGACCTCCGCCCAGCCCTGGCCATTGCAGGCACCTGGGGAGAGAGCCGGCAGACAGCAGGGCTCTGTGTGTCTTTGTGCAGCCCCTCACCAGCGATGCTTACAGCCCACCCCATGGTGGCAGTCACCTCCTGGTGCCAAGGCCAATGTATTCAAACCGATAAACAAAGGTTTTGTGATTTATTTTGGGCTAATCCAAAAAAGCACCAAGAAGTGAAGTTACTGAGCATTCCCCAGGTCTTCAGAGGAGACTGACAACACTTTCAGCATCCAGCCTTCTGACACAGTTCCACGTAAACGACACAGCCTCAGTACACACCTGTCTGTGGCTCGATTTCACTCTCAAATATATGAAATTTGTCTCGGTAGGATCTTGTCTGTGTCATATGTTTTGTGTTATTAAATATACATGTGTCTCATATCTCTGTGCTGGCTGCGTATACCTATATATTTAAATAATTTCTTTATATATATATATTCTCTTTTTATTTTTAAAAGATCTATTTATTCACTTGAGATGTTGAGTTAGAGGGAGAGACAGAGTCTTCCATCCACTGGTTCACTCCCAAATGGCTGCAATAGCTGGAGCAGGACCGATCTGAAGCCAGGAGCCAGGTGCTTCCTCTTGGTCTCCCATGCGGGTGCAGGGCCCAAGCACTTGGGCCATCCTCCACTGCCTTCCTTGGCCACAGCAGAGAGCTGGACTGGAAGAGGAGCACCCAGGACTAGAACCTGGCGCCCATATGGGATGCCGGTGCTGCAGGCAGAGGATTAGCCAAGTGAGCCACGGCACCGGCCGGTAATTTCTATTTCTGCATTCTTCCCTTTCCTGTTTATACTTTCATCCCATATGAATTCTGTGCTGTCTCTATCGAAGGAGGACACAAGCCCCTTATTTGTCATATATCTCAGAAACACTTTTCCCCATGTGTCCTTTTTTCTTTTAACCTAAAATAGCCTTATATTTTGATGTAGCAAAACCTCCCAATCATTTTCTTTTAATTATTTGTCTTGCTTGTGATCATGTATTACATATGTCCCGCAGGTAATACACGTGTACCCAAATCCACAACAGGGCAGACTTGTAGCTCAGAATTCTCAGGAAAGACTTAAAAAAAAAAAAAGATTTATTTATTTGAAAGAGCACCAGCAAGAAAGGGAGAGACAGAGACTCTCCCATCTGCTGGTTCATCCTCGGATGCCCAAAAGAGCTGAGGCTGGGTCAGGCTAAAGCGGGGGGCACCCAGACGCCACCTCCTTCCCTGCTGTGCCCTGTGTCTCTCTCAAGCACTCCTCAGACCGCCCCCTCCCCCTCCATCCTCCTTGCTCTGGTCCACCAAGGTTGTCCAACCACCCCAGCTCACCTGGGACTTGAAGAGGTCCCTGGACTTGGGACTTTGAGGGCTGAAACCAGGAAAGTCCCAGGCCATTCCAGCCAAGCTGACCACCCTCGGTCCAGACCCTCATCCGTCCCCCTTTCCTGGACAAATGCAATGGCCTCCCCCGAGCGGGGCTCCTGAAGCCCACCTCCCACACCTGTGCCCACCCAACCTTTCTTGGTCACAGCTCGGACATGTCCCCCTGTGCTTTCACTCGGTCCCCTAGGGCAGCCAAACCTCTGGTGCTGCATAACTTGGCTCCTGTTCCTCTGTGCCCAGAGCTCCGGCCACTCCCTGCAGGTGCAGAAGTCACACCTGGTGCCTTAGCTTCCCCTGGAACCCCATCCTTCCTCCCCTCCCTCACTCCCTGGGGATCTGGGCGCCTCATATCTGTGCTCCCATAGGGTCCGGGGGACACAGCCTGGGAGCACCTGAAACCCTGTAAATAGCACGATCGGTGCCTTGTCTCTGGCCAGAGAGCTCGCTGGGCTCCTGGGCCTTGGCTGCCCCATTTCCTGAGTACACAGGGCTATGGCTGATACACAGTGGGGCTCATGGGCTTTCAGCTCCAAGGTGGACCTGTTTACCCTTCCGCTGTATTTCCCCTTTCAAGTCAGTTCCTTGCAGTGGTTTCTGTTTAAACACCCTGGTCAGGGGCTTTCTGAGAATCTAAACTTACCACTCCAGCCAGTTCCTTTTCATTCCTGTACTGACTTGCTGGGGCCACAGGTGCAGGTGGCAGGCAGCGGGGAATTCCAGCAGCTCTGCTTTTCCCTGTGTGCCTGCTCTAGCCAAAGAGATGAGATAGTTGCTACATGGCCAGGGGAAGTTCAAGGTGAAGGTATTCCCAGCTCGGGAGAAGAGCACCAGCAAGGGCATTGTGCCTGGCTTGGGAGTTTGACACAGAAGAGCAGTGGGAAGGAAAGCAGGAGCAGAAGTGGGGCTTTGGGGTGTGGAAAGCAGGAAGCTGCCACCAGGGACCAAGAAACAGCATTTCCCTCCCCCCCCCCCCACCTCCGCTCCCTGAGCCTGGGACCTGTGGCAAGGCCAGCATCTGGCCCCTCTGCTGTCCTTCAGGGCCTCCTTCCCAGACGGGACTCTGGGCAGGGAGGTGTGTGAGGCGTGCAGGCCACGGAGCAGGAGTGAAGGGCCTCTGTCCACACTGCAGCCAGGGGAGAAGAGAGCCCAGGGCTGCATCTGATGCCCTAGAGGCCAAGGCCAAGGCCAAGGCCCAGATCTGGCTGGAGTCACCTGGTGCTGCAGCCAAGGCAGGAGAGAGAACACTGAGCGGGGAGTCGGAGAGCTGGACCCCACACCTCCCAACATGCAAGGGTCACACCACCTGACCCCCTCTAGGTTCCAGTGCCTGCCCGCTGCCCGCCATGGTGGAGGGCTCCAGGGCACCAAAGCTGCCACAGGCTCTGTGGCACAGCCAGGGATGCCTCCGTCCTCTGCGTGTTGCCCTCTGTCATGGGCTCCCTCCCTGTCTTGCAGAGGCCTGCATACACCTTTCTGTCTTTACTCACAGGACACCTGTTCAGAGTCACAGGAGTCGGGATGGGGGATGGGGGTGGCGGGGAGAGAAGAGGGTCAAGGCCAGGAGACAGGAGACACACCAAGGGGCACTGCCCAAGTGCTTAACATGCACTGTGTCACTTCATCATCACAGTAGCCCTGCAAACTATACCTTGTTAAGATGTATTTGTTTATTTGGATGGCAGAATGACAGAGAGAAGAGAGAGATGTGCCATCCACTGGTTTCCTCCCCAGGTGGCTGCAACAGCCTAGCTAGAAGCTAGGAGCTCCATCCAGGTCTCCCACATGGGTGCAGGGGCCCAAGCACTTGGGCCATCTTCCACTGCATTCCCAGGTGCATTAGCAGGAAGCTGGATTGGAAGCGGAGCAGCCGGGACTCCAACAGGCGCTCTGGCACGTGATGCCGGCATCTCAGGTGGTAGCTTAACCCACAGTGCGGCCCCCTGCAATATTTTTTTTCCTAATAGCAGAAATGTGCCCCAGGTCACACAGTGAGTGAACAGCAGGGCCAGGATTATGACTCCTCTTGGACAGTGCCCTGGACAGGATCCCTGGCCCCTCCCCTCTCCTCCCAAAAGCCTCACTGAAATGCTGCTTCTCTCTCTCTCTCTCTCTCTCTCTCTCAAATAAATACATTTTTTTATTTAAGAAATAAATAAAAGTTTTAAGTGCCCCTGCCTGGGCTCAAATGCTGACTACTTCAATAAGAATCTCTAATTTTTGTAGTTGAAAGGCAAATCTTACCAGCAGCCGGGGTTCAGGATGGGGAGATGGACTCAGAGGACTCCCACCACCCCCTGGCTCCAAGGCTGCTCTGTGTGTGTGGAACGGGCCAGAGGCTCAGGGAGGCCGCCTGGCACCCAGGATGCCCCAGCTTCTGTGCCCAGTGGCAAGGAGCCTGTCTTGGGTTGGGGGTTGGAAGGGGGCTTGGGGTCTTGTTGCCCTTGGGCCTAGATGGAGGCTGCTTTCTAGACCCTTGATCTCTGCTCCAAGCAAATAATTGTGTCATTGAAGAGCCAGAGATGAGGATGTATAAGGCCCCTGAAGCACCCCCACATTTCCACACCTAACAACACGCCTGTCACCTGGGAGATGCTTGGCAAAACGAAAGTTGACCAAATCAACACTCGGGCGAGTTGACAACCTGGAAGGCGCTGTCCATGGCATCCCAGGCTGGGTCCCAAGAGAGGGCATCAGGTTGGAAAAAGAGCTGCAGGACCTATGGGAGACCCCAGGGCTACAGCAGCTTATCAGCAGGTCACATCAGTGTCACTCACTGCTGAGATTAACCTGCAGGAAGACAGCCAGAGACCCTGCTGTGCCGGACCAAAGAAACACACCTCCAGGGTGGGAGATGCTAGTGGGGCACCTGTCGGGTGCAGGTGACACTCACATCTCTCCCTCCCTCCCTCCCTCCCTCTCTCTCTCCCTCCCTCCCTCCCTCCCTTTCTCTCTCTTTCTCCCTCTCTCTCTCCCTTCCTCCCCCTCTCCCTCCTTTTCTGTCTCTCCCTCTCCCTCCTCTCCTCTCTCTCTCTCTCTCTCACTCTCTCTCCCTGCTTCCCTCCCTCCCTCCCTCCCTCCCTCTCTCTCTCTTCCCTCTCTCTCCCTCTCTCTTTCTCTCTCTCTGTTGCAGACAGTTACCAACACCTTCCGGACAGCCAACATCCAGATCCAGCAGCCAGGACCAGAGGCCGCTGACCCTGACCCTGGACAAAGACAGTCGGCGCACAGTTCAAGGACGTAATCAGGTGAGGCTGCACCTGCCACCCACGGGGATCCAGGCCCTGGTGTGTCTGTGTGTGTCTGTGTGTATGGGGGGGGGGGTGAATCTAGCCCAGGACACCTTGTCCCATGTGCAGCTGGTAGCCAGGCAGGTGGCCTGGTAGACATGGACTTGAATCCAGGAAGAAGAGGCAAATGAATGGCTGACGCTGAGCAGCCCATGTTTTAAGTTCTCCCAAGAGTCCCGTATGTACACACACATTCCTGATCCCACCCCCTCTGCTGGCACCAGTTCACGCAGCCCTGGCTGGTTAGACCTGGAAAGGCAGAGGAACTCCATGCAGGGTGTTCTTCCTCATCCTGATTCTTCCTCTCCCTTCTGCCCCCAAAACGAGTTTGCCTTTCCAACACCCTGAGCAGCCGTGACACCTGAGATGGGCCTCTCCCCACCCACAGGTTCCAGGTCGCTCCCTGCCCAGAGCCGTCTTCCGAGACCCAGAAGTCCAAGCCATCGTGGCTCAGTTCCCACGGGCAGCAGCCGATGGAGACCACCAAAGCCCAGCCCAGACCCCTTCGCATGCCCATCAACACATTCTCCGGCATCATCCAGTGAGCCCACCAAGGTGGCAGGAACCCCCGAGGAAGGAAACACTACCCCCATCAACCTGAAACACAGTGGGCCACAGCAAATGCCCAGGAGCCCAGGGAGCCTGCCGTGGGCTTGGTGCCCCCAGTCCTCCCACCCACCCCAGGAAACCAAGGCTAGAGCTGCCGACGTGGCCAGAGCCCTGTGGTCACCCTGGGGGTGGAGGCAAGGGGCGGTGGATGAAGAGAACTGAAACCAGCTCCTCCCTTGTCTGCCCCCTTCCCACACTCGGCCACTGCCCACCTTACCCCTCCAGGGCAGGGGTCTCTCCCAGATCCAATAAATGCACACTAAAATTTTTCTGCTTTCCCAAGCACCCAGCACCATGCGTATTTGCATAGACATCGGGAGCAGTGCTTCCAGAACCCAGTGGCTGCAGTTAGGTAAGGGTTTCGGGGAGCACTAGGTGGTATCCTCTGGCCCCCTGCCCCCTTCCTCTCCTCATTCTTACAAACCGAGGGTCTCTCCTGACCACCACTGTCCCCACATGGAGGGGAGGATGCTAGGTAATTGCAAGTGGTGGAAGACATGAAAATTCTTGACTTTAAAGTTCAAAAACTCAACACCCAGGTATAAAAGCAGGACAGATCAATGGCACAACTCCTCTTCTCGCTGCCAGGGCCAGGAAGGGGGTGGGGGAGACAGTAACAGAGGCCTTAAACACTTGAACTTGAGTCACCTGGACGGAGCCCCAGGAGGTGGCAGAGGTGCGGATGGGAGTTGTGGAAGAGATCCAAGAGCAGACAGCTGGATACCTCACTTTGGGCCTTCTGTTCCCAGGAGTGGGCACAAGTCCAGGGCACATTCCCAGCACACAGGAGAGTGCAAGAGAGAGATCCTGTGCCCCTAGGGCTCACGGGAAGCAGGCTAAGTTTTTCCCCCAGTAGCTAAAAGCAGACAGGCCCAGAGGCCTCCGAGGGAAAGGGGTATAGCTGTGGGCACCTCGACCAGACACCAGCTTGGCATAATGCCTGCCTCCCAGTGGAGAGGAGCCCAGGGCTGACCAAGCCCAAGAGGTGGTTGGAGGTGTTGCACCCCCCCCCAGAGCTGCCTGCTGCCGGCCCCCCAGGGAGGAGAGAAGCCAGGGATGGTCTTCCGGGTGACGGAGGTGGTGCAAGGGCTCTGGATTTGAGTGAGTTTTCCTAGAAGAGGCTTAGATTTTCTTCTTTCTGCCTTCGAGGGCAGGCACGCTGACCCACATCCGCCGAGCATTTTACAGCCATCATGTTGTTAAGGAAACAGCAGAGTTTACCAGTTGTTAAGGTTAGGTGAGGGCTCTGAGCCCAACCACCCCTCTGGGGGCTGACAAGGAAAACAAGTTGCAGACCACATTCTACAATACACACACACACACACACACACGTTGGCCAGTGGCTCCCACCCCAGCCAAAGCAGGTGCTCTGAGCAAACCCTGCATGAAGATACCTATTGAATCTGTAGCTGGACACTGGACCATTTTGGAGCAAAGCCTACAGCAGATTACAAAGGGCTGGACTGCAGCAAAGTCTGGACTCTCAAACTCTGAAACCCTGGTCAAGCGAGACAGGAGATACTTCCCAAAAAGCTCTACCCAGGCCACGGTGACTTGGACATGACTCATTTTTCCAGCGAGGAACGATTTCTGATATCTATCATGGTAACCAATGAAGCCGTTTCTGTTGACCTAACATTGTTGACGTGCTTAGATGAAAGGGTGATTTATTTTACTTGAAAGGCAGAGTGAGAGAGAGCTCTTCCATCTACTGGTTCACTCCCCCAAAATGACCCCCAACAGCCAGGGCTGATGCCACAGCCTGGAACTCCAGGGCCCAAGCATCTTCCACTGCTTTCCCAGGCACATCCGCAGGGGAGCTGGATCGGAAGTGGGGCAGCCAGGGCTCCAACCCACGCTCCCAGGGATGCTGGCCCGTGGTGTGGTGGCTTAACCCGCTGCACCACAAGGCCCTTCTGTAACCACCTCTGGAGTGTGGGCTTGGTGACAGCACATCAGACCTCGATTAGCCGCAGATTAAAATGAGCAGGCCCAGGGGCAGCCATCAAGAACTGCCCTCAGCTGTCGGCCTTGTTCCCGCTGAAGGAAACTGTGGCCCAAGGCCATGCCTCTTCCAGGGACAGCTCCCACCCAGAGAGAGAGTTCTGGACCCTGAGGACAGAAATCCTTATCTGGGTGGAGATACAGTAGAGGCGAGGTACGTACATGGAATTACCCCCACCCAGCCCCCCCGCAGTGGTTCCACGGTGCTATAGAAGGAGAGAAAGCAGAGAAAGGGAGTGTGTGCCGGGAGGAAGTGGGGAGAATGGGATTTGCCATGTCAGCCCTGTGTCTGTACCGATCTGAGGAGGGTGGGAGCCTCACCGACCCCGTTCACTGCGTTCTCACTCCTCCACCCTGACTCAGTCTCACCTGCCCGAAACAGTCCAGGCATTTAGCCCAGATTTCCGGGGCGACCCAGGGCAGCCAGAGATCAAGGCGGCACCCGCAGCGGCCTGGCTCGCAGCGCGCTCTGCAGGCCACAGGACGCGCACCTGCGGCCCACCCTCCTCCCCACTCCCACCTGTGCAGGTAACGACCGTTCGCCGCTGAGCGCTGCAGGTGCGCCTCGCCCTCCCCCCCCCAAGGCGGGGCCACTTCCGGGCCGGCGACTTGCGCGGGGGCGGGGGCGGCGGTTGACCCGGCGACCGCGGCGCCGCCGGAGGCCGGAGTGGCTCGCTCGCAGCCCGGATCCCGGATCCCTCGAGCCTCCCTCCCGGGGAGGGGGGGTGGACATGGGGCGCCGCCCCGCCCGGCCTCCGCGGCGTGCCCTCCGCGCCCAGCTCCGCCTTGCGCCGCCGCCAGCTCGGGGCTGACGGCGCCGGGGCAGCCATGAGCGCCAACCCCCAGTGGGACGTCAGCCGGGCGCTGGGGGTGGCCAGGCTCTTCCAGCTAGTGTGCGGGGTCCGCGATGGCTCCGTGAGCCCGTTCCTGACCCTCTACCTGAGGCAGCTGGGCCTGGCCGCGCCCTGGGTGGGCGTTCTCATGGGAACCAAGCACCTGATCGCCGCCTTCTGGGCCCCCTTCTGCGCCCTCCTGGCGCAGAACCACCAGAAGAGGCGAGCGCTGCTCACCGGCTCGCTGCTGGGCTCGGTGGGCGCCAGCCTCCTGCTGGTGCTGGTCCCGCCGCTGCACACGGAGCCGGGCTCCGGTCCTTGTAATGGAAGCGTTCGAGTGCCGGCCACGGCCCCACCGCCGGGGGTCTGGGCCGCTACGACGAACGCCACCTGGGCCCTGGAGTCTGCCTCCAGCCCACCAGCAGGGGCGCCAGGTCTCGCCCGCAACTGGACCCCTGGCCCGGACGGACCTGGCCGGAGCGACCGAGACTCGGTGGGGCACATTCACGGCGGCTACTTAGCCTCCCACGGGCTCCTGCCTCCTGCTGCTTCAGACGAGGACGTGAACACCTGGGAAGGTGCCTATGAGGTGGTCAACACGGCCCTGGCTCTCCTGCCCGCGGAGGGCCCCGGACTGGCAAGTCCAGCCAACTGGTCGACCACCGAGGGGCACGCCAAGGCCCTTGACCTGTCCCTGGAAGGGCTGCGTTGGACTTTCATCCTTTCCTTGGGGTCCGTGGTGCTGTGGGAGCTGCTGACGGCCCCTCTGGAGCAGGTGGCCGACGACAGCCTTTACGAATACCTGGATTTTGTGGACGCCACCGACCGGTACGGGAGCCTGTGGGTGTGGAGACTGCTGGGCGTGTCCGCAGGTGCGTGTGGCACCGCGGCCCTGGTGGAGCAGCTGGGCTGCTTCCTGGTGAGCAGCGGCCCCCAGGGGGCGCTGCACTTCTACGGCTACTCCGTGGTCAGCTTCGTGGCCTTGCTGGTGAGCATCGCCTTCCCTGTCCCCAAGTGCCTGCGGCAGGAGCCCCGCTACAGAACCATCAAGGCCCTGTCTGTGATGGGAGGCGCCCCCCGCCTCATCCTCCTGGCCCTCACCGTCTTTCTGATCGGCGCCGTCACCAGCACGGTGCAGAACTTCCTGTTCTGGCACATGAGGGACCACGGCAGTGGCGAGCTGGTCATGGGCTTCTCGCTGGCCCTGGGCTTGCTGGGAGAGCTCTCTCTCCGGCCTTTCAAGACCGTGTTGCTCAGCAAGGTGTCCAGGGTGGGCATGGTGGGGCTGGGGCTGGGCTGCCTGGCCGGGCAGCTGCTCTACTACTCCTTCATCTGGAGCTGGTGGTCCGTGCTCCCCGTCCAGGCCCTGAGCGCCATCAGCGGCGGGGCCCTGTGGTGGGCCGTGGTTGCCTCCATAGAGGACCTGGCCACTTCCGGCACGGAGAGACCCCTGACCGCTATGTTCCGGGGCCACCTCTACGGCGGCGGCTGCAGCCTGGGCAGCTTCGTGGGAGGCTTCGTGGTGATGCACTTCGGCCTGGCTGTGCTCTACCAGGCCTGCTGCGTGGCACTGCTGCTCTGGCTGGCTCTGTTCCTGGCCATCCAGCCCAGGCTGCCCCAGGAGCGGAAAATCAACTACTCGAAGCTGTTGGCGGTGGAGGCGAGTGACACGAGTGACTCAGAGCCGGGGCTGGACCAGGACTGGTTTGTGAAGGCCGTGGAGGAGGAGCAGTCTCACCAGAAGGGCTGAGCCGGGGCGGGCGGAGGGACACAGTCTTGGGAGGGCAGAACCCTGCCACGGACCACAGGGAGAGCCTTTGATCCGAGGGTCCGCGCCGAGGGCCCCGCAGAGATGGTCTCATCCCTGGATTTTCTCTACTTTTGTAGTAAAAGGAGAGTCACTGCTTTTGCCATTCAATCTTTTTCAATAATGGAGGAAGAATACATTTGCTAAAAAAAAAAGAAGGAAAAAAACTTCCTTTTTATTGCTGCCTTTGTATGTGCTCTATTTGATGTGTCACATTTCAGGGACATTATTTTTCATTATTGAGGTCCGCCGTGGCTCACGTGACCCCATTACATTGGTGGTACCGGGAAGGCAGTGGGCCCTGCGGGATGCCGTGGGCAAGGAGCGTGGCCCGTGTGGACAGGGATCCGCCCCCTCTGGGTCGTACAGACATCAGCCCTAGCCCGTGAATGCTGTGTGCTGAGGTTTCCAACAAGATATCGTGATGGGAAATGTACCCTGTGTTGGGTTGGAGCAGGATGGGACGGACGGACGGAGGGAGGGAGGGAGGGTTGGGAGACTCGATCTTCCTTGCAAATGGTGCATCCTGGGAAAGGGGCTTCTAGAGCCGCCATCCGTGCTGACTCCGCAGGGGAGCTGGCACCACCCGCAATGGTGTGGGCTGCCGAGGGGGTCCCGCTGCACCTGTGCCCCGCCGCGTGGCGAAGCTGGTACAGTGACAAGCCGGGGCCTTTCCCAACACCCCCCGCCCCCCGCAGGTGGGGCCCTTCATTCCCAGGGCCAGTCCTCAACAGGCCTCCTCTGCCACGTACATACAGGACACGGGGTGTAGAAGGAGCCTCTTTGTACACACGCAGAGAAAGTCTCATTGCTGGAGAGGAGAGCAGGTACACGAGGCTACTTCAAAAAGTCTGTGGAAACGCAGGTGATGGAAAACGTGCAAGGATATCAAAAAACTTTTTTGCACCAAAATAAAATTATCTTTTAATTCCATCTCCCATGGCCCTCTGGAAGTACCCTCACGTACCAGTTACTCTGTAAGTCCCTGGACCCTTCAGTATGGTCAGATTAATATTTTATACTGCCGGCGCAGCGGCTCACTAGGCTAATCCTCCACCTAGCGGCGCCGGCACACCGGGTTCTAGTCCCGGTCGGGGCGCCGGATTCTTTCCCAGTTGCCCCTCTTCCAGGCCAGCTCTCTGCTGTGGCCAGGGAGTGCAGTGGAGGTTGGCCCAAGTGCTTGGGCCCTGCACCCCATGGGAGACCAGGAGAAGCACCTGGCTCCTGCCTTCGGATCAGCGCGGTGCGCGGGCCGCGGTGGCCATTGGAGGGTGAACCAACGGCAAAGGAAGACCTTTCTGTCTGTCTGTCTCTCTCACTGTCCACTCTGCCTGTCAAAAAAAAAATTTATACTATAATTTGATAACACAACCCAGACTTTCTCAAGCACCCCTGAGACATGGCTCCAGGGCCTTTTATTTTTCAAACTCTGCTAAGAATATAAAGGTCAACAACAACAAAATAAAATTACCACTGCCTGAAACGATTAGAGTCACTTGCCTCACGTAAAACCCCCCAGAGGCAGGCAGCCCAGAGGTGGCCCAGCTGCTCCACTGTGCCACTGGGGACCTAGAATGTTTTTGTTCTTCACCTCTTCGTCCCATCTCCACCTTGTAGAGGTCCCTTTTCAGAGAGCTGGCCTGGAAGAGGGGCAACCGGGACAGAATCCAGCGCCCCGACTGGGACTAGAACCCGGTGTGCCGGCGCCGCAAGGCGGAGGATTAGCCTAGTGAGCCGCGGCACCGGCCAGGAAGAGGAATTGAGAATAAATAAAAATAGTGGATGTCAGAGACACATAAAATTGGAAATAAATGACAGCGAGTTGAAGACTCTGAAAACTGACTGGAAAGGTGTAATGTAGGTTTAATCAGAGTTCCAAAATGTAAGCAAAGAGTAAACAGGACGAAAGCAATCTTGGAAGAAACAAGTGTTGAGAATTCTCCAGCACTGATGAGGAATCCAAACTACAGAATCAAGAAGCCCAAGAAATCCAGAGCAAGACATATTTAAACCCACCACGTTACGCTCAAGCTGCAGGGACCTAACCAGAAACCAGAAACATAAAAAAAACAGAGACCAGATCACCTTGAAAGAGATATTAGTTAGTTCACAGTCTAACTTCCCAACAGCAACAGGTACCTGCTGTGCCACAAGGCGGGGCCCCAGGACCTAAGAT